TTCTTTCTCTTGGAAAAAATATAAATTTTAAGGGACATAGAAACCCATCTTTTCTCTCAGTGTACCTGTTGTTTATAGGCAAAGGCGCATACTTGAGCCTGCCGCATCTTTAACAGCGATGCGTCTGTTGCATAGACAAACACGCACACACACAGACACACACACGGGCACGCTCTGCTGTAGTTGCAACTGTTGCACCGTGGTCTAAGTGCACTTAAAAATGCATTGCGCTAAATGCCCGTCGATTTGTCAGCTGTCATTAGTCGAAAACTTGACTGCACTGCATGATGTATGAGCACTTGAATCTGGCCAGAAAACATGAACAAGAAGAAGAGACTACAACAACAAATACAATAGCAAACAGCAAACAGCAGCAACAACAACCGCTCGAGCGAAAATGAGCAAAGAAAATGGGAATGATGAGTTTTGGAGCTGAGAGTGAGAAGCGAAAACGAGAGCCGGACAATGGGATGACATGCAAGCATCGCATTTGACCCAATTGTTGTTTCTTTTTCTTTTCATGCCGAATATTTTTTGGTCGCTTTTGTTGCGTGGCCAAGGCAACAACAGCAACAACAACAACACACGCTAAGAATAAATTATCATGCCACTGGATGATGATGCATCAGCCTTGAGTTACGTTTAACTTTTCCTGCTGTTTTTTTTTTTTTTTTATTTATTTATTTATTTTTGTGGCTTAGTTTCTTGTCATTGACAGCTCCGAAGTTTATTGGCCAAGAATAAAGCCAGTCATTGAAAGAAAAAGTATTTTAAATGCTTAATTTGGCCAAAGGCAAAGAATTTTAAATATTTAGTTTGGGTAAGTAGGAGGAATAAAAAAAAAAAACATTTAGCAATACAAATCTGAACTTCAGAAATCCATAAAAAATTCTTATCGAAAATACACATTTCAAATATATTTCTTCAAAATATATATTTATTTAATGTATTTAATGTAAAGGTAAGGCAATGAAATTAATATTTATCAAAAAAGGGCCGTTTCCGTTTACATTCATTTAATAACAAAACATATGCTATCTCTCAGCCATAAAACCTTCACGGCCGACACACACACACACACCACTGTGCCTGGGCCTGAAAGTAATTGAGCCTGCAGTAGTGAGAGATATTGAGGGGGGGACAGCAGCAGTTGAGGAAGAGGAACTTTAAACAGCTCAAGTGCACTTTGCAACTCGCAACTGATAAAGAAATTCCATTTATGTAGGTATCAAAGAGAAGAAGAAGAATAAGATGATGATATTGTTTGCTTTTGCATTCTGTTTTATTTTTCTGTCTTTTATTTTGTTTGGAATAAAAAAAAGGAGGGAACCGACGCACAGCGACGACTTCCTGGGCGAAAGTTGTGAGTGGAAATATGATTGCATTATTTTTTTTCTTATATTATATTATTGTTATAAATTGTTGTAAATTGCACTTACCGAGTAGCAAAAGTTTAATGTCCTTTGCCGCTTGAATGCCATCCTCTTTCAGATTCTTCTCGATTTGTTTGGAACGTTGTATGGCAGCGCGCTCTTCAGCCGATGTAGTGCAGCCCATTTTGTTAGACTTTGTTGCGTTTAGCTTATATTATTTGCTTATTAGATGATTTTGTGTTTTTATTGTTGTGGCTTTGGCAGCACTTGTCAGTTAAGTTAAGGGGATTTCTTCTTATTGGGTGGACAGCAAGTGCGCAGCTTTTATTTTACTTATTTATTTATTTTTTGTTTTGTTTTTTGTCTTATTTACAAAATGCTTAAAATTACAAATATACACACTGCAAACGGAGGTATTATTTATTTATTATATATTTTAATTCGTTAAGGGAAATGGTGAGCAGCATCCAATTGGATTTTTTTCTGCATAAACAATAACTGAGCGTTCCGTTGTTCGGCCACGGGAAGTGAGAGCAGCAACAAAAACAACACCATGAGCAATGAGTCACACACACCMACACACACACAGATACACAGCCAAGCACCGGTATTGAGATAACTACTTGACAAGTGCGCCTAATTTTATGGCCGCCACTGTCTGTCTGTCCAATAGGGCGCGTGCAGCTATAATTGAACTGCGCTTTTGTTGTTGTTGTATTACGCTGTTATCAGCGGACAACAACAACAACAACAGCAATGAGAGCAAGCAGCAGGCACTGCTCTAACCAATTTACATATGGCTTGAATGGAAAATATGTAATATTCTAAATATATATACATACATAATTGTATCTATATAGATGTTCATCAATTTCATTTATCTAATCAGAAAATGCTATCGAAAATTACTACGAAAAAGAACATATGAAATGCAGAGCGAAAAAATTTCCGCATTTTGACCATTTATCATGTTTTTGGAAATATTGTGCATGGTGTGGCCAGGTCCTGCTTTTTCTGTATATGTATATATATTATATATGTACATATGTGTGTGTGTTTGTCTGCAAGATGTGGGCGTGGGCGCAAAAAAAATGTGTTAAACGGCTGGCCATAGCCGGCTAAGACGACGCGTGGTCACACTGGAGATGATCTGGCAGTCGCCGCGCCTCCTTTGGCCCATTTGATGATGATGCTGCGTTTTGTTGCGCCTCGATGGGGAAACGTTTAGTTTTTTATGCGGCTTTTGCGTGGGTGCGTCGCGTTTTTCGGTTTTTATAGTTGGGTGGTTGCTTGGGGGTGGTGTTTTAGGCGCTTGTATAAATTTCCATTTAGTAGTTTCGTGCCGCGCTGCTCACACGCTCGCGCTCTCACACGCACACGCACTCTTCACACACATACACACATTTATACTTTCACACGCATACACACGTTCTCCCACCCACCGCCAGGGCGAGCAGCGTGAGCGCAATTTTCTTCGTTTCGTTCTTTTTTTTCGGCTTTACATTTTACCACCGCCTAGTTTCCAGCGCCAGCGTATACACACAACACTTGCACACACGAACTGAGCAGAGCAGAGCAGAACTGAACTGAGCAGAGCAGAGCAGAGCAGAGCAGCGCAGCACGGAGGCCACCCTCTTGTTCCGCCCGTTTGCTTGTTGGCTTTTCAGTTTCTTATATATTTAATTGGATTGCATTTTGGAGAATTGATAACACATTAGATTTCACAATTACCCGTTACACAATGTTCAGCACTAGCACTTTGCTTTCAAATTGCATTAATTCTAATTTAATTGGAATATTTCGGGTGTGCAAAAACTTGTAACACACTTTTGCTGCCTCTCGCTGTCTCTTTCAAACTGAATCTGGCATTGCCAGACCACTAGCTCCATGCACTTTGTTTACATTTCGCGCGCTGTGGCAGCACTCTGCTAATTAGCAGCACTGTTAACTTTCTTATTGGCGTTACAGTACGAATTCAAATGAGACCAATAGTGCGGAGTTTAGAGTTGTTGGATAGCCACTGAACGCTGTTTGTAAATATTAAAAAGAACTAAAGTGCCATAAATTAGGGCTTATGAGGACTTCTTGTTAATATTTAATGCAAATTGAATGATGACTGTTAATAACAGTTTTTCTTTGCCACCAATTCGCTTTTAACATAAGAGTTGCATGCATTGCTGCAGCCCTGGCCACAAACAGCTGATCGCAATTGCGTGTTTGTGAATTTGAGGGAAACAATTAAAATGTTACGTCAAGTTTTGGTAAGTTATAAGCTTATTTAACAAACGAAAAATGGATAATTAAATCCTTTTTTAGAGCTCAACATCTGTGCGCCGCTTGCTGGTCTCTCCCACACGCTGCATGAGCGGCAAACAAAATGTGCCCGACAAGATCGAGTACTCAACTCCGCCGGAAATAATTGATTACGAAGAATCGCCCCATTTACCAGTGCCGGAGTATCCCATCAGACCCGATGAGCCGCTCGAGACTCGCAAGCAAAGGTGTGTAGACTATACTATAATTATAGTTCACTAAATAAATCAATTCCCATCTGCCAGACTCCTGTATCAATCGCGCAAACGCGGAATGTTGGAGAACGATTTGCTCCTGAGCACTTTCGTGGCCAAATACCTGAAGGATTTCGATGCCGAGGAAACGGCGCAATACGATCAGCTCATCAATGGCGTGAGCAACGATTGGGATATCTATTATTGGGCAACAAATACGAAGCCAACGCCGCCGGAATACGATACGGATGTCATGAAACTGTTGAAGCAACATGTCAAAAATACGGAACGTGTGCAGCGCATCAGGCAGCCGGACTTGTAAATTCGTATTATATAATCAACCCATATATAGTCTATTAAGCTATGCTGCATATTATCAATGTTCTTAGATCAATTCTGTGTTAAAGCAAAAACTAATGGAAAATTCAATTTCTTGTCTTTTCTTTATAATTTTCATGTAATACAGATATGATAATATATATATATGTCTGTATATACATATATATAAACGATGTCTGAATGTATATGCTTATCGAATAAGTTTCACTTTAGTTGCGAATTATTACAGTTAAAACTTGCACTTTTTGAAAAATTGATCGAAATTTATATTTTCTTGCTATTGCGCCCCAAATATTTTCGTACATATATAGAAATCGGTTTGATTCGATCTGTTAAATCGATCACACGTTAAGTTAATGAATTCTATTTTATTTGAATTGTTCACAATTGTTTAGCTTTATATGTATATATATATATTATTAATTAGCAGTTGGTTGATTCAAGCGATTAAATTTCTTTAAACTCTAGTTTTAAATTTAAATGAACAGGTTTTATTATTTGTTTTAAATATTTTAAAAAGAGCTCCTTTTAAATTAAATAATAATAAAGAAGTAAACATTATTTTGGCTTTAAACAATACAAACACAATCGACTTTAGCCAGTTAATTTCCGATTAGGGGACTTCAATTATAAATTTTAATTATACATAAGAATAATATTACACATAATTGTTGTTGTTTTTTTTTTTCGCGGTTTTCATTTTTTGCTTATATCCGAAAGGCTAATGCATATAAAAAATATGTTGTAAAACGTTTGTTATTTGTTTATAGTTTTGTTTTGTTTTGTTTCGCATTTAAAAATCTCGCTAAATCAGAAACACAATTATTGCATGAATTATCGCGGCATCAGTTAAAAGTACTTAAATAGGCGCACAGTTGATGCGTGTAAAAAAAGTGGTGAAGTAACAACAGAATTAACCTACTACAGATACAGATAGAGATACAGATTACACAGATCGATTTCGTTAATCTTTATCCTAATCTAGTCGAGCGTCTCGAAGAAGTCGTGCGGATCCACAAATAGCGCCGGGCTGCTGCCACCGCTCATGGCCGATGATGATGCTGCCGAACCCGCTGCCGATGCCGATGCTGATGCCGATGCTGCTGCCGCTGCTGCTGCTGCTACAGCTGCTGCTGATGCGGAACTGCTGACGCCTCGATGGCGACCACGACGTGCTGTACCGCCAACACCACCACCACCAACACCTCCACCCCCACCAGCTGTATTGCCACCACGTATGCTGGTCGCTGTCATGACGGGATCGTAGGTTCGGGTTGAGGTCGCCTCGCTGCTCGACATGGACGATTTGCGACGACGCTTGTTGCGACGCCGTCGCCGCCGTTTGGTGGTTTGCACAGCGGCCGTCGATGTGGTTGGCACGCTGCCCAGCGGTTCGGTTAGCACGCTGGTGCGCGGCAAGGTCAGCGTGGTCTCGAACATCTTCAGCAGCGTCGGCGAACTGGGTCAATTTTGCGGGAACACATCGTCGATGGTAATGAAAGCATCCTCGCCCAACGAATTCTGTCCGATGAGTTTCAGTAGCTCAGCCGCATGCGCCACCAAATACTCCAGCGGTGGCCGACGCTCAAAATTGAGCGATTCTACAAAGAGATCAAACCTAAATTAGTTAACCAACTGGATACAACAGCTTGAGTTTACTCACCTAATATGGCTGAGTTGAGCGTGGTGGAGACGTTTTCACGTCGCGAGGGACACAATAGCCAGCCCAAGGGACTGGACCAAGGATTTGAGTAGGCAATCAAGCTAAATGCATCCTAAATAGATTCGAGAATTCCAAATTTAAGTTATTTCATGCTTGGTTATAATCAAATTGCTCAATCTATCACCTCCAACATTTGACGCTCCTCTTCAGTCATGAGGTTCTCCTTCTCTAGCTGCTGGCCCATGCTAGACAGTTCCTTGCCAAATTCTAATATCTTTTCAATGACACGCCCATAATTGCGCGATGAGGGCGATATATCTACATCTGGAATGGTTAATTAACTATAATTTGTTTAATTTATGTTATTCTCTCCATACCCATTTCCTCATCGATGGCATCTAGAGAGTTACGTGCTACACTGGCATTGCCATTTGAACAGGAGTCGCCTGGATAGATGGACGAAGCAATTATTAATTTGAGTTTAAATACATTCAAGTTTAATAATATATATCTACACTTATTATGAAATTGAACTCGTTTTGACATCTCCGTGGCGAAATGTAATCGCCAAATTACAATCGTTGAGCTTTTCTTACCATTCCATATTTCGTCTTCTTCTTTGGTTAGTAAACTCAGTTTTCTTGAACACAATTTGATTGATATTTCTTGTAGGGAAATTCAATTTTTTAACCATCTTTGCCTAAGTTTATTAGTACCCAATTTTAGTCTTCTTCTTGAATTCTTGTCATATGGTTTTTGACGGTGCCATGTCTTCTTGAATTTACAGTTCTGTTTGCATTTCTTGAATCTATGTTATACATAAATATGCATTCAGCTTTGCTTTTCTTTGAACTAGAATCTGCTTAAAAATTATAATATACAATTAATTAACAATTATAATATTGTTAAATATATTTGCCGAACTCAGAAAAAAAAGAGCAAGTCTGCCTTTTTATTATACCCATAATTTCCATGGAAAACGGAAAATCAGGATATAATGGGTTTGTTTTAAGAGTACTTTTATACGATAATCCCCAACAATTCTTAACTAGTTTTAAATAGCATTTGAATCAGTTTACAGTTCAATGCCAATTTAAAATTCGTTTGTTTGGCTTCTTTCGTTCAGGCCCTTAAATTCAAATATTGGAGCCTAAATTGTAGTAAGCCTTAGTTAAGTAATATACAGTATTGTTTCATATACTACATAAAATATATTCATTTTACATTTGTATATATAATATACTGTATAATATATAAGGTTGTTCTGGAATCGACCTTTTTTAATCATCAGCTAAGCACTTTGACTAGCCCTGATTAGATAATAATCTAAACTCATTCCATGGCCCCACTTAATGATAGTTAGTTATCTAAATTGAAACGTACCATTGGAGTGACTGTTGCAAGGCTCCATTTCCACATCCATGCTATTTGAATCATGCTCCGGACACTTGTTGGAGTTGTCATCAATAATCATGCTGCAAATGCCAAGCAAATCATATTGCATTAAAAAAAAAAACTTTTTTTTAGCTATTTTGCTTTAGCTGGAATACAAACATTTTGGGATCTGTTTTATCGCCTGGTTTTATCACAGCTGAGTTCGCAGTGTTGTTTTGTGGCTGGTTGGTGTTAGTGTTGGTGCTGGCGCTGCCATTGCCGCTGGCGCTGCCGCTAATATTGCCGCCGGTTTTGCTGTGCTTGAACGCCTTGGTCGACTGTATGACTGACGTTTGATTTGTGGGCATGGTCTGTGTGGTGGCGGTCACTTTGTTATTGGCGTGCTAGAAAAATGTAAATTGATTTGGTTTTATATAATGCATACGTTTGAATATCTAGTGACCCACCTCAATATCAGCGCCATTGATCATCTCAATGAATTGGCGACACTTGAGCGCAAACCAAAGATTTTTATTGTTCTCGAGGAGGCCCGGATATGCGCGTAGCGTATTCTCAATGGCCTGACTCATTTTGCCTGTTTGTATGAGCTTGATTATCTCTGTAAGAGAAAATTATGTGAATTAATTACATGAAAAGGTCAAGTTAAATTAAGTAACAGCTGCCTTGGGTGGGTATCAATTATATAAATATTAATTTATCAGATTGAAACAGTTCATTCCTCTAAATCTGCTCTATAAAACCCTCATTCTGGCAGCTATTACTAAATACCAAGTTTTTGCTACACACTTTGACGTGTCTTGATTGAGGCCAAGTCCTCGTCGAAGGGTTGATGTGTGTAGGCATTAAAGGCCTCAGCTGTCTTGCAGTAACCACTATGCACCAAATATGTGGAGACCAGCCTAAAAATACATAGTACCAATTATTTATTTGACTCTTAATCAATATCAATATTTGCATGCTCGCCTGTTCATTAGATTTTCGGGAGTTTCCAGCAGATGCGGATATCTGTCGATTTTGCGCAGGATAGTGGCGCGCATGTCTCGCATCATTTCCTCAATTTTATCAAATTTGAAGGGCTCTTGGCCAAAATTGGCATCTACCTCCTCGCCGGGCGTTTGCAGGCCCACCGTCGGATAGAGTTTGGTCTGCAAAGGGCATTAATTAATGTCATATAATATTTAATTAGGGTCAATCTATATATCTACGCACCGGCAAGTCTCTAAATGCGATGCCCAGATCGAAGCCGTTCTTGGTGTAGAAACAAGTGTTGTTCAGAAAATTAACACAACAGCCAATTATATCGCCGGTGGTGAAAGTGGGTCCATACGACTGCCCATTGCACGAAGAGCTGAACGAGTTGCCATCGTAGCCATGATAGCCATACGACTGCTTATCCCCACCTGTTCAGAAAATCAAATGATTATGAGTGTGTCTGCTATATGAAATTGTTATCTGTATTTGCCACAATACGCACCTGGCAGACGATTCATGCGAAACTGCTGAGCGGTCAGTCCAATGCCCATGTAACCGTTGCGACCCTTGGAAATGATGCGCACCTCAAAGTAATATAGGCCACAGGACGGTGGTATTGGGTATGCGGTGCGCACAGAGCCAGCTGCCTCGCTGTGCTGTTTGCCCACGCCTGCAATGGAATATATACATGAGTACAGTGAGGACACGATAAACTGCACAATTCTACATAATACTATTATAAAAATGAGCAAATTACTATAAAATACTTCTGCTATTTTCTGCAAATATTTAACATTTACATTTATATATACAAATTTTTCCTAAGTTTCTCACAGCGAATGCCCACTGTAATTGCTTCAGTTCACAGCGCGTGGCTTGTGTATGCAGCCAATCAGCTGTTTGCCAATCACTCACACAAGCGTCTGCCAGAACGCGAATAAGCGTGTGAGAAGTGGGCGCCAAAAAACAAAAACAGTAGCTACCACACTCGCACAAGTGCAAGCGAGACAACCAGTGTGTGTGCGCGCGCCTTGCATGCAGTGGGGTCGCCACTGAAAGCAGCGCGTTGGCGTTTTCACTTGCTTTGCCCAAAAATGGCAGCTTGAGCCAGTGCTGCCAGAATTTTGAAGGCAAGAATTGCTAGAATTTCAAAAAATAGTTGCTAAAATTGCTAAAAAATTTATTAAAATTGCTAAAAGAAATGGCCAAATTTTGTTAAAATTTTATATGTTAAATTTATTACTTTTATTTATGATTAAGTTTTTAAATGATAGTTAAAATGTCGTCCAATTGTTCCAATATACTTTCTTCATCATTAATAGCATATTTGGAGCTGCATCTGCTATGCATATCGCGTCGCCCACTTCAATAAGCTCAAGGCTTAGAAATGTTGAGACAATTGTGCCTTTACTATTGCTGAAATAGTTAATAGCAACTCCTAAAGATTTAAGAAAATTTAAACAATTCATCTAGCAAAAGACTGAATCACCAATATCAGCCCGCAAATTTTCCGCAAAGTGCTCGGCAAGAACATTTTTTATTATATGACTTCTCTTTGTTCTGCCCAATTTTATGTTTGCTGCCGATTGGCAAGCTGCAAATTGGTGCGNAACTACTTATTGTTCACAACTATTGAACTATTGTTCACAAGTTTGTGCATTTATCGATATTGTTATGATTTTGAACAAGTTGAGTTCTTTTTAAGATGATGTTATTGTGAGATCACAAAAATCACAAAATTGCTAAAAGTTGCATAATTTTTTTTTTAAAATAGCTATATTTGTGGCTAATAGCAATTTAAAAAAAAAATTGCAAAATCAAATTCAAAATTGCTAGATCTAGCAACTTAATGGCTAAAATGGCAGCACTGGCTTGAGCAGCTGTTGTTATTGCTGTTGCCTGCTATGCGAGAGGAAAATGAAGAGGAAAGAAGTAGTGCGAAGAGACAATGATAAACTGTATTTTAAAGTTGTATCAATTAATTAAGCTTATTTGTATGCACTGAATGAATTGTTTTTAAATACAAAAAATTGTTTGTATGTATGTATATACTAAATTTTAACAGTAGAAAATGTTTAACAAATTTTTATGACTCACTGCAGTCACGCTTATTAATGGACAATTAAATACAATTGAATTGTTTAACACATCTATATTCTGTTAATAACATAAGAGGACTTGTACATGAGATCAGCGCTGAGTTAACAGAGCTTCCTATTAAAACTGCCCTAAAAGCTTATAGCGTCTTCTGAAAGCGATCTAAGCTGTTTTCGCATAACCTCAGAGTAGTTAACGGGGTCTGCATAAAGCTAGATTTAAGGAGCTAAACAATCTTCCTTAACAGAGGAGAAGACCTAACCAATAGGAAGCTGTTACAATTTGTTAACATAAGAACATTTTAAGATAACAACTGAAGAACTCCATTTAAACGAAGTCGGATTCGCTTTATTAACTATCTAAATAATCGTATAACAGCTTAGCTGCTGCAACTGTTAAAACATGCTAATAACATGCACAGCTCTGGTCATGAAATAGTAGTGCGACTGTATGCAATTAACATATTTTAAGTTCAAGCTGCTAACATAATGTTACACTCTGCATGTAAATCCTTAAGATGTTTTCGCATATAAATTATGAGCCCGTTCTCGTATATAAATAATATATTTTAGCTAATTCAAACAATTCTGAAGCTGTTTTCATATATGTTTGTAATGAACATAACTTAACAGTTCCAGCAGCTCATTAACATAATGCTATGTCGGTCTGTAAATTATGAGTTTTCTACTTATAAATTAGCCAACACTCACCTTTGTAGGTGACACGCAGATTGTTGTGCGAGAGTCCGATGTTGAGGCACTTGTCGTGTGGATTCCAGCAGCGTGGCAGCGGCGTCTCGTTCTCATTCACATTCGGATAGAGCAGACGCAAGGGATCGACGCCCTGATGACCCGATTGATTTGCATTTCGTGTGCCGCTCCCGCCACCACCTCCGCCGCTGCCACTGGCCTGCCGAGATGAACTGTGGCTCTGGCTGTGCCCATCCCTCTGGCTGCTCGATTTGTGGCCGCCGGCGTACATATCGTTGCTGAAGTGGCTGCCGTTGTTGCTGTAGAAGTGACGCGTGCGTCGTGAACTCGATGCGGCGCTGCTGCTGTTGTTGCTGCTGCTGGTATTGTTGTTATTGTTGTTGTTGCTGGTATTATTGTTGTTGTTGTTATTGCTGCTGCTGCTGTTGTTGTTGTGATTGCTGCGCGGCGCACGCAGTAATGGTGGCAGTGGGGCACGCGCCGTGGAATAGCTGGGCAAAACGGCAACAGAATGAAGTCGCTGCTGACCACTGGCTGATCCGGATCCTGACGCTGATGCAGCTGCTACTGCTACGGCAGCGCTTGCTGCTGGTGGCGGTGGTGTTCCGGCTGCCTGCTGCTGTCCAGCAACGACAGCGTCAACGTCAACTTCAACGGCGGCCTCCTCCTCCTCCAGCACCTCCTCCTCCTCCGCTTCGAGGTCGTCGTCACCGCCTTCGTCCTCCTCGTCGTCGTAATCGTCAATGCGCTCCACGACGGCGTCGTTATCGTTATCAATGGTTCCCGCGTCAATCGTATCGGCAATGGTGTCCGCCTCGATTATCTCTGGCTGCGGTTGCTCCTGCTGCTGYTGCTCGACCTGATCCTGTTCCTGCTGCTCGTGGTGCTGCTGCGCCTGCTCCTGCTGCTCAGCTTCGACACGCGATTCGTCTGCCTGTGGTAATTGCTGTTGAATAGGAGTGGGTGAATGCTCATGTTCATCAGCCTCAATTTGTTGTTGTTGTTGTTGCTGTTCTTGTTCAGTGTCTGTTAAGAGCCTTTGCTCAGCCTCTATGTTAAATAACAGCGGTGCAGCTGCGCTGCTGCCACTGAATGCAGATGCATTAACAGTGGCTGCTGTTAAATTGCTGTTGCTGCTGCTGCTGTTGCTGGCGCTGCTGTTTTCCGTGGACAAATTCGGATGATGCTCATTATCGTTATCGTTATCGTTATCGGCATGCTCAAAATCCATTGTTTGTTCTTTATTATTGAATTCTATACTTCTGAATTTTGCTATTATTGTTGCTTGTTTCTGTTTGTTTGCTTGTTGTTGGTCTTGTTGTAGTTGTACTCTGAGAGAGATTTGAAGCAATTAAAAGCGACGAACAGAAAAACAGATAAAAGTGTGCTGACTATGGGCAGGCATGAGGTATGTGCGAGTGTGTGTGTGAGCTAGATGGAGCATCATGAAGTGGAAGGCAAATAGATGCAGGTGCTAAGCAGCAAAACACAACAGCAACAGACGTGTGTGCGTGCGTGTGTGTGTGTGTATACACAAGTACAACAAACAAAATGTCCTTTGGCCAGGCCTCTGTTTCTGCCTCCGCCCCGCCCCCACACAAACAGCAACAATATTATGCACAACAGCAACGGTAAATAGCAATAGCAAAATAACAGCAGTTTACAGCTTTTTCTTCGACGCACACAATAACAACTGCAGCAGCAACAGCAGCTGCAGCCACAACAACAACAATTAAACTACAACTACATGCAGCGAATGCAATAAAAAATCAATAACCAAATTGCAGCACTATTGCGTTATTAGCCAAATGCTCACTTCACGTTTTCTTTTACAGTTAACAAAATGCGTTTCAACTGCGTTTTTACGTCGTTCTTTTTTGAAGTTTTCTTTGTTTTCCCCCTAGTAGCAGCAGCAGCAGCAGCCAGTCACAGTTCACACRTACACACACACATCAGCACACAGTTCACACATACACTAATCACACTCATACCAATAGACGCGCACACACACACACCGTCGTCTATACACACGCACACACACACTCATGCATACAGAAAAAATTTGCTGGTGGCCAAATAAATGCATTGCAAATGGTTGGGTCTGGTGTTTATTTGGTCTGCTTGTGATATTGTTTTGTTAATATGCCATCTTGGTTAACTGACTGCGAGTATTAAACATTGAATTTGCGTTACCTTTACGAAAGTTCAGTGCACTTTAAAATCACACAAATGACTTTTGTTTAAGATTTTTACCTCGAACTGAGCGCAGTGTGACCGACTCTGACAATTGTAGCCAACTGTATGTTAATAATGCCAATGTCGATTGACATTGAACTGTAACGCGTGCTGCGTGGGCTAAGAGTGACCATTTTAGCTGTGCTCAATAACAGAAATGTTATCGATAAAGCGCGTTGATTTAAATTTTGAGGAAATTCGAAGTTATCTTGAAAAATTATTGCTGGAGTAAGCTGTTTCATAAATATTTGGCATGTATAAATAAATTTGGCTAGAAATTGTAAACTTTTAAATATATTTAAACTGTTTACGTGTTAAGTATTGCTTGCTTTTCCTCTATTGGTTAAAAATCCGGTTCTTATCTACGGCTACGCTTGACAAATAACTTCATGGAGCGCTATGAATACCAATATGACTATGGCTTTGTTTTGTTGTTGTTGGCAAACACATTTGCTAATCAACAATGTGATGGAAAATTACCAGAGAAATGCAAATGGCTCTGAAACTATTGCGTTTTAAGTTTATATATATTGTTGGATACAGAAATGTTTTAGATATGCGTGTACAAAATTTTATTCTAGATGTACATATACATTTAGTATATAAGTACTTATATTATATTTAAATTTATGTTTAGCTCTATGTTCATATAGTTTGCACTTTATCAAGGTGTAATAGATTGGGCTGCTTTATTGCGGAACACGTTTAAACACCAATATAACACAACAATTTAAATATATTTATTTTAGGTTAGTCGCGCATTGCTTCATATAATTTCATCCTGACTGTTTGACGGTCTGGAACTGTCTGAAAAAGTCTGCAGCTTTGGGCTACTGCCATGATCCGAATGATTTTACATGTACAGAAAACCATCTCTAAATTGAGAGTAACTTTACTATAATATTGGGGTTTTCTATGGGATACTCTAATACAGTTAAACAGTTTATTGCGCTCTTCGCCATTCGCTCAATTTCACGAAGTTCCAATTAGTTCTCTAATACGAACTCACACAGTGAGCTCTGATTTGAGCGTAACTGTTTCTCTGTATTGGTAAATCTATGCAGCGCACCAATATACTCAAAGCCAGTGACGCTCTCTTCTCACAGCTCGTATAGCGAGCGGGAGAAGAGCGTAGAACGTAGCCCACTCACCAATACTAACAAAAAAAGTTTATATATTATCTACAATTGTATTTTAAGTTTTAATTTATTAACTTACAACTATTAATAACTTAATTCCAATATCTAATTATATCGTCCGAGTTGCCAATAGCTGGATTCATGCACCACCATTGATGGCTGTATGTGGCTCAATGAGGCACAGCCAGTTAGCTTCATTGTGGTGTCAAAGTCGTGTCGCAGGATCTTCAGGAGCTGTTCGACGCCACGTTGCCCGTTGGCCGCCAAGCCCCACAGAGCGGGACGGCCAATGAACACGGTTTGGGCGCCCAGGGCTAGGGCCTTGAATATATCGATGCCCTGCATAATGCCGCCATCGAGCATGACCACCAAATCCTTGCCCACAGCAGCGACAATCTCGGGCAGCGCCTCGATTGTGGCCGGCACTGTGTCCAGCTGTCGTCCGCCATGATTGGAGACAATGATGCCAGCACAGCCCGCATCACGGGCCAATTGGGCATCCTCTGCGGTCAGGATGCCCTTCAGCACAATGGGCAGCTGGGTGAGCTGTTGCAGCCACTTGATATCCTGCCACGTGATGCTCGAATCGTACTGACTGGTCACATACGCATTCAGCCCAGAGCCAGCGCACTTCGATGCGAATCTCTGTGTGAACTCATCCTGGAAGTTGGCCAAACTCAAATGCGAGGGGAATCTGAAATCATTGCGTGCATCCGCGCGACGATCGCCACTGGTGGGCATGTCCACGGTCAGGACGAGCGCCTTGAAGCCGGCCAGCTCGGCGCGCCTTATCAGCTGCTGGGTGAGGGAGCTTTGGATTAAAGATAATGGAGATTTACTTATAGATTATATTCACATTCATATTCATATTCATATTCATATTCATATTCATATTCATATTCATATTCATATTCATATTCATATTCATATTCATATTCATATTCATATTCATATTCATATTCATATTCATATTCATATTCATATTCATATTCATATTCATATTCATATTCATATTCATATTCATATACATATTCATATTCATATTCATATTCATATTCATATTTATATTCATATTCTGTACTCACCTTANATTGTTGGATACAGAAATGTTTTAGATATGCGTGTACAAAATTTTATTCTAGATGTACATATACATTTAGTATATAAGTACTTATATTATATTTAAATTTATGTTTAGCTCTATGTTCATATAGTTTGCACTTTATCAAGGTGTAATAGATTGGGCTGCTTTATTGCGGAACACGTTTAAACACCAATATAACACAACAATTTAAATATATTTATTTTAGGTTAGTCGCGCATTGCTTCATATAATTTCATCCTGACTGTTTGACGGTCTGGAACTGTCTGAAAAAGTCTGCAGCTTTGGGCTACTGCCATGATCCGAATGATTTTACATGTACAGAAAACCATCTCTAAATTGAGAGTAACTTTACTATAATATTGGGGTTTTCTATGGGATACTCTAATACAGTTAAACAGTTTATTGCGCTCTTCGCCATTCGCTCAATTTCACGAAGTTCCAATTAGTTCTCTAATACGAACTCACACAGTGAGCTCTGATTTGAGCGTAACTGTTTCTCTGTATTGGTAAATCTATGCAGCGCACCAATATACTCAAAGCCAGTGACGCTCTCTTCTCACAGCTCGTATAGCGAGCGGGAGAAGAGCGTAGAACGTAGCCCACTCACCAATACTAACAAAAAAAGTTTATATATTATCTACAATTGTATTTTAAGTTTTAATTTATTAACTTACAACTATTAATAACTTAATTCCAATATCTAATTATATCGTCCGAGTTGCCAATAGCTGGATTCATGCACCACCATTGATGGCTGTATGTGGCTCAATGAGGCACAGCCAGTTAGCTTCATTGTGGTGTCAAAGTCGTGTCGCAGGATCTTCAGGAGCTGTTCGACGCCACGTTGCCCGTTGGCCGCCAAGCCCCACAGAGCGGGACGGCCAATGAACACGGTTTGGGCGCCCAGGGCTAGGGCCTTGAATATATCGATGCCCTGCATAATGCCGCCATCGAGCATGACCACCAAATCCTTGCCCACAGCAGCGACAATCTCGGGCAGCGCCTCGATTGTGGCCGGCACTGTGTCCAGCTGTCGTCCGCCATGATTGGAGACAATGATGCCAGCACAGCCCGCATCACGGGCCAATTGGGCATCCTCTGCGGTCAGGATGCCCTTCAGCACAATGGGCAGCTGGGTGAGCTGTTGCAGCCACTTGATATCCTGCCACGTGATGCTCGAATCGTACTGACTGGTCACATACGCATTCAGCCCAGAGCCAGCGCACTTCGATGCGAATCTCTGTGTGAACTCATCCTGGAAGTTGGCCAAACTCAAATGCGAGGGGAATCTGAAATCATTGCGTGCATCCGCGCGACGATCGCCACTGGTGGGCATGTCCACGGTCAGGACGAGCGCCTTGAAGCCGGCCAGCTCGGCGCGCCTTATCAGCTGCTGGGTGAGGGAGCTTTGGATTAAAGATAATGGAGATTTACTTATAGATTATATTCACATTCATATTCATATTCATATTCATATTCATATTCATATTCATATTCATATTCATATTCATATTCATATTCATATTCATATTTATATTCATATTTATATTCACATTTATATTCATATTCATATTCATATTCATATTCATATTCAGAACTATTCACTCACCGTTCCTTGTAGATGTAGAGCTGAAACCATTTGCAAGTCTCTGGCGCAGCTTCTGCCACCTCCTCAATGGAGCAGGTGGACAAAGTGCTCAGAATGAAGATGGAGCCAGCTTGGCCAGCGGCGCGTGCGGTGCCTATTTCTCCATCTGGGTGAGCCAGCTTCTGCATTGCAGTGGGCGCAATGCCCAAGGGCCAAGCGAGCTGTGCACCCAAAATCTCGCAGCTGATGTCCAGGTGGGAAACATCGCGCAGACAGCGCGGACGCAAGCGTAATCTGAAATGGAATGTGAATATATGTTGAGCATATAAGATTAAGTATATTATATCTGGTTTTACCTCTTGTACGCCTCATGGTTCAGACCGCATGTTATCTGCTCTCCGGCGCCACTCTTATAATAATCTAGAACATTTCGGTCCAGCAGCTCCTTGGCCTTTTGCTCAAAGTCGGCAACGGAAACGAGAGACATGATTTGATTCTCTATTTATTTGAATATTTTATATATATTTTTTAAAGATATTTATTCAATTAATAATGTTAGCGAATTAACACCCGTTTAGCTTTGCTTTGTATCTAAGCGAAAGAGGCCTCAATCGTTCGCTTTTATACACTTTGCAGGGGAGAAAAAGAGCGTCAACAAGATATAAAAGATGACAAGCAATGTTTATCGATGTTAACGTGGCAATATTTATTAAAAAATATATTAATATTTATTTGAGGTATACAAAAAAAATCGTAATATGAGAATATGAATATATAATAATAAAATAAAATTTTAATTAATTTAGCAATTTCACTAAGAAAATCTTAGGCTAAAACCTGTTCAATTAGCTCATTAATTGAAGCAAAAAAGCAAAATTGCAAAAAGCTGGAATACTTAAAGCAAAAAGTAAACAGAGAACTAAATTGAAGAGCGTAACAGTTTCTTTGTTAGTATTGGTGAGTGGCATACGAATTGCAATACAAACTCACATTTTACGCTCTGCTCTGGATCGCTATACGAACTGTGAAAAGAGAGCGTCGCTGACTTTGAGTGTATTGGTGAGCTGCATAGATTTACCACTACTAAGAAAGAGTTACGCTCAGTTTGGGGCTAACTGTGTGAGTACGTGTGGTTGATCTGATTGGAACTTCGTGAAATTGAGCGAATGGCGAAGAGCGCAACAAGTTGTTTAACTGTGTTAGTGTAGGCTATATAAAAAACCAATACAAAGGCACGTAGACGCTCAGCTGGGCTCATGGACATATAGCTGTGATAAGACTAGGCCGGTCTAGCTGCTAGCCGGCATTTGTGCAAACTGAATGAAGTTGGAGTTTGCTAAAACTTTACTTAGTTTTACCATATGCATGGAATTTACTTGAGCTGCAACAAACAGCTGAGACACCCAGTATGAATATCATTAGATTTGACAGGCCTTCAGTTGAATGCTTAGCTCAACACGTGGCCCATTCCGCTGCAGCTCTATCTGCTCCCCGACTCCTAGCTACGGGTTTCTTATCGTCCGGCATACAAATGTGATTGCTTGTTGTTGCCTGTTGTTGATTGTTTTTGCTTTTGACTTGCTTTATAGACAAACAAATGTGGAATGGAAAATTACCAGCGAGAATTTCAAGTGGAAGCAAGATTATTGCGTTGTTGACTTCAGACTTTAGAGAAAAAAACTAAAAAAATAAATTGCAAAAAATTAGAGACTGTACTTAAAATGAACTGCAAATATTTTGTAAAGCTATTTTATTATATTTTCTTTGACATTTAAGCATTTTTTCTGCTTCTTGATGATCTTAACTGCCTGGCAGCCTGAAGGCATCTGCTTGGCTTTATTTTGAGTGCGACCCGAATATGCTTACACCTATAGAAAAACGCCTCAAAACTGAGAGTAAAATTACATTAGTATTGGTATTTTATATGGGCGGTACTCACACAGCTAAACAACTTGATGCGCTCTTTGTTATGCGCTCAATTTCACGAAGTTCGCATAAGAACTCACACAGATAGCGCCGGCTGAGCATCTGTGTTTCCTAGTATTTGTAAAGCTATACAGCTCACTAATACACCCAGAGCAAGCAACGCTCTCTTCATAGTTCGTATAGCGAAGAGCGTAAAATATGAGATTGTATTCAGTGTTGCCGAAACTTTTTCAGCAAAAGTAGCAAAATCGAAGGCTGAAAGTAGCTAAAAGTAGCCAACTTTCTTCTAAAATAGCTGAAAAAGTAGCAAAAAAGAAAACAGTGCCGTTTTTTTTTATAAAAAGTCAACTTTATTAATTTAATTATTATAATATCTCATCTATGACCACCAACTCGTCATTTTCACCATTGTCGCTTTTATAATTTGCCTTTTTAAGGTAGTTGGGTGGAACGCTATACTCATAGCATAAATAATAAAATCAAATTTTCGATAATTCTAGATAAAAAAGTTATCNTGTTTTTTTGTTGACACACGAGACCTGTTGCTCATACCACGAAATGATTTCTATAGATTGTATGATATAAAATCATGTATCGATACTTGTATTCATGATTTTTTGTGTTGACAGCGATAAGAACAAAATAAATCAAAATAAGTAAATGAAAATTAAATAAAGCTAAAATAGAGCTAAATTAATTTTTTTAAAGCCAGAATTCCCGCAACCCGCCGTTTTCAAATTTTTCCCGCATTGGGACTTCAAATAAAGCCAGATCTGACGGGAAAAAAGCTAAAATGACACCCCTGGAATCGTAGGCCAATCACCAATACTAATAAAGCAACTTTTGCGCTCTTCCATTTAGTTCTCTGTTTACGTTTTGTTGCGGTTTTTGTTTTCATTTTTGTGGTCTACGTATCGAATTATCCAATTGGACAGTTAGAGTTAGCTTGGCAACAGTGTTGTCCAATTGGACAATTTCATCAGCTAAACCTAAAACCGATTTGTGTAATTATTTATTATAAAATATGTATATATTATATTCATATAATATAGGCAGCTGCATTTGTGATTATTATTTTAAATTGCTTGGGTTGTAAATAAACAAGTGTTTAGCTGTATAACAGAGCTGTGTAATGCTGTAACGTGTATAACAATCAAGTATGCATAACAACTACACACACACACATGAATATCACAGTTGTATGCCAGCTCAGGCTTTGCTTTAGTGAGCTGTTGATCCGCTCTCTCGCTCTTCGCTCCTCGTTCTTCTTCTCTTCTGCTTTGCTGCTCGCGTCGTTTGTATGTGTGCTTGGCGTGTATAAAAGGCAGTCGCGCAGTCGAGTTGCCATTCAGTTGACTTCAACAGTTCAGCGACAAACAAGTAAAGTGAATTTTCGCTCTTCGCTCAATTTTAAATAATAAAATAAGAACAAGTAATCAAAATGCGTCTGGGTGCAACTATTCCAAACTTCAAGGCGGAGACCACAAAGGGTCCCATTAGCTTCTACGAATGGCAGGGCGACTCGTAAGTAAACGCACACACACTCATACAGTTGACAAAATAAGTTTGAGTACACTCATAAATATCCTCTAAATTATATGAAAAATTACATAATTATTTATAAATATAAATACTATTTCTTCTTCTCTAGCTGGGTTGTGCTCTTCTCTCATCCATCTGACTTTACGCCCGTGTGCACCACAGAGCTGGGTCGCATCGCTGTCCATCAGCCGGAGTTTGCTAAGCGCAATACCAAGTGCCTGGCCCACTCGGTGGATGCTTTGGACTCGCACGTCGATTGGGTGAATGACATTAAGTCGTATTGCCTGGATATTCCCGGCGATTTTCCATATCCCATCATTGCCGATCCCACTCGCGATCTGGCCGTGTCGCTGGGCATGCTC